CACTTCCCAAACACTTTTCAACATGTCAGTTTCTTTTTTTTTCAGCTCCGTACGGTATACGCGAGAAGAGCCAGAAAGTGGGTATCAAAAGCAAAAAGGAAATCTCATTTCAACGAGATATTACTCAATAGTAAGAATTTTTTCAAACATTTTTTGTCTGTGAAAAGGATTTTTTATTCATTATTAGGAAGGACGTACTACCGCCAATACTATTTAGGACGTACCGTTTGTTATTAGAGAAGGCATATTTTTTGCTTTTGTTTCCCCTGACCGTGGTTTTCAGACAATTATTTTTTATATTTGTTTATATTTTTAGTCCGAATCATTATCCAGAGAAAACGCAGTATTCGATGTCGTCAACATTCCTTGATCTCATCAATCTTGCCAGTAAACTGCTTGTTGTTGGTGGTCGTTTGCTCTTCTGGTTTCCAGTGTTCGATGATGAGTTAGTTCCCTTTCGTTTGACTTTAAAATTCACCAAAAACAGAATTTTCTGCATATTGCTGACGCCTTTTTTAATAAATTACTCTTTTTTCAACGTTAATTTTTTCCTGTTCTGCGAATACTTCAAAATTAGATCTAGCAATTCAAAGTCGAACATTGCTTCGGACAGCTGTCGAATTGGGGTTTAAACGAAAATAATTAAAATGGTGTAAGAACTGAATGCCATTAGCAGTTTCGGAAACATATTGTAAAAGGGATAAGAAAATCGGATTTTTTGTGGGGATCTCTCGAGTTTTACCGATACCACTTACATGAGGCGCCCGAGTTTTGCCGAGATCTCTGGAACACTTCATGTTAGTGATCTTACTAGGAAACATGTCTGGCGCAGCTATATTTTTGTTAAATTAAAATCAAAAAAAGGATTCGTTGCAGTACATGTTTTGTTTAATCTTCATCGATTTTCGGATCCTTTCCAGGATAAGATTCTCATTTTTGTTAAAAGTTGATTTCTCAGAACAATGAATTTTTTATTTTGAAGGTAAAAAAGATAGTCGAAATAATCACCTGAAAGTACATACATAGTCTGGCAATACGTGTTTCGATGTGTTATCTACAAATTTTTGTTGCTTCTGCAAGTATCCATTTGAAGCATATAGGTCTAGACGGCTGCTCTACAACATACATAGTTTGGTTGTGACAGCCCTTGAGCGAAATCCGTGATGGACCGAAGGCATTCGTAGCCATATGGACAAACATCGTCTTCAATCGAATTGTCTGGCGTACATATTATTGGCATGTATTTGCCCAGTGTCAACATTTGTTGCCCAAATGGACATTCTATAAAAAATTTATTTTTAAAATACTCAAATTAGCTGTAATTATACTGTCTTTCTTTCTGGCTATGAGATGATGTAGCATTGGTCAAAGCAATTGGAAAAGTTGTCGGAAAAACTGGTCTAAAAAGTTTTTTTGTGAGTGAAACCGTTTAGTGATACTGCCGCCCCAATCCTTTCTATGGTAAAGAAATCTTGCTCTACGAGATATCCCCCACGTTTTACCGCATCCTGTTGAACTGATGTTTTCTGGGATTCTATGCTGAAAATGCACTTTGGACTGCTGCTGTCTGGTACAAAAGCAGTGGATGGAAAGAGCTGGTTTCAACGGGAATTGCATTGTACATTGGATTTGAGAGCAAAACAGTTCTCATAACTAGTGGAGGATAAAGCAGTCTCAGGTCTATGAGTCTAAGCAGGATAACTTGGATTCAGATGTTTGACTTTTTCAAATTACTCACGAGGTAACAAAACGCCCGGTTTGGGCCTGCAGCAGATATGATGTGCTTGTTGCAGACTATACACGCATTCTGCATCAGCATCTTTGCAGTCTGCTGAAGTAACGCATCTTCCTGGCTCACTTCGAACACTCCACGGCCCATAGCATGTATCTGCAGCGCTTCCAATAACAGAAAATATTTTAAAATTGAAAGAAGACAAGAGAAAATAATATTATGAAATTAGTAGAAATAAAATATTATAATGGTAAGAAATGTCTCGGTCCATTAATTCGTATACATTTCGTCTGAACTTCGTGGAGGCACGTTTTGAAACATGCCCTGTGATCTGATCCGAGTAAAACAGTAATGCTTTTGGGTCGGGGTACTGATAAGTGTCGCCCACTTCTAGACTCAGGGCTTTGATCAATTTGCCAGTGGTTAAACTAGCCTCTTTCATGCTGCACAGATATATTTCGACAGTAAGCTGAACATGCTAATAAGTTAATGAGTCTTCATAGCCTGGTTCTTGTTCAGCCGATACATTTGAAAATCATCGAAACCTTTGCAATTGTATGGCTGCTACGGCACATTTTCCGTCTTTTCGTAGTCCATTCGTTTTTAGTGGTAAGCAGATTGCAGCAATTAAATTGATCTTGGAAGCCTTGTTGATGGGAGTGCGATAGATAATAGTATGAGATAAGGAGATAAGATGTTTCGGTTCATCAATTCATATACGCTCAACCCCAACACCGCATCAGGACCTGATCAGTAGAAAACTGATTCTGGATTGATTCTGGCACATGCCAGAAAAGATGAAATCGCCATCAGGTTGTTTCGAAACAATCCTTGAAAACGGTACCAACGGACAGCCTTGCCAGTAGGTGGCTGCTTTTAGCTTCTGCTACCACCCCGGCTGCCTCTGAATGCTTCCATCTTTTATAGAAAGTGAAAACAGAGGAGTTTCCATCTTCTGACTGATTTTTCTGACAGTTTATTATAGAAAT